AGTATTTGAAAGAATTTTTTCGCTTCAACCATTCAAAAAGTCTTGTCAACAGCAAAACAAAACCTCATTGTCGATGTACGTTCAGTTTATTTCATAGATACGCTCAGTTTATTCTTAGACAGTCAGTTTTATTCTGGATGTTTGCAGGTTCGAACGTTACTCGCTGATTTGACCATTTGTTGATTTTTCGCTAGAAAAAAATTGGGTTTGAATGAAAGTTTAATTTACAACTTTAAAAAAATTTGAACAAACCTTCTGATTTACGGTAAAAATCGAAAAAAAAAAATGGATGAGCAATGGACCATCTATTTCCAAGACGAATGAAGTAAGTGAATGGGCATTAACAACTCATATACAACGGTGTAATGATTCAGCGATAAGAAGGAACAAAATACTAATAAAATTGAGCAAGCATGATTTGATGAGATACATCAAACAAAAGTCGGCAACTCTTTTGGCCAAGGGTTTTTTTCAATCGAAAGCGAAATCATATTTTCAGCACAAAAAAATTAATAGAAATTATGATTTAATGGAAATATGTTCGAAAATTGGCGAAACTATGACAAGATCAACAATCAGGTGAAAAAATTCAAATGAACCCGTCTCTCACGTCTCAAATAACGAAAAAAAGTGTTGAAAGACATAAAAGTTTTTATCGCACCTACATCTACAACTCCATCAAAAATCATTTAAATGATGAGTCAACAGACACTCAACGACCGAACACACATAACCAGCTACTTGAACGACTTGAACGTATCGAGCGGCATATATTCACAATTTGTTTGCAAACAAAGCAATGCTACTCCGTTGCCATACACGATTCGTTCGAATGTAAACAATCTCCAACTGTGTTATTGCCGGCGCAAACGATTCTGTGTTATCGGGTGACAAGTTGTCGCTGCTACTTACTTCATGGTTTCGTGTGTCAGTGTATTGATATCGCAACTCGCACACATGTATGCGTATTCAGCTCAAAGCAGAGACGTCAGTTGGTTTCCAGTGGAAGTGGTTTGCTGTGTACTTCCTCATTGAAACCGGTAAAATAAGTTTTTATGGTTTTTTACATTTGAAAATTTTAATAAATCAAGTAGAAATTGATATTTTCAGAAGAAAGAATCAAAATTTTCAACATGATTGAACAAAACTTTGGAAGATCTCTCTTGATTGGAACTCTCTTGATTACTAAAACTTTTGCTCTCGTTGCAATTTTTTTTCTTTAACAATTCCATAGCGAAGAAAAATAGTTGAGTGTCAAACTTTTCAAAGCGTCAAAATGTATCAGCTGACTATTGTTATTTAGACGAACGTGGCTGAGCATTGAACAATAAAATGTTTTTCAAATCCAATAATAAATTCATTGGATCATCAAGTGTGGGAACACGCAATTGGAAACTGGAACTATGGACCAGCTGTCAAAAGACACTGTCAAATCGACGTTGACACTTGTAATTCCCACACAATCAATAGAGATTGTGTTTTGATGGACAAATAGAAGTATTTTCGCATTTTTCTGCATTCCAAAAGGTAAAATTTGATTGTTTTTCATTAAATTTTGAGTTATTTTTAATAAAATCTCGTTTAAACTGATTTGGTTCACTTCCAAATGTAATGGAAGATGTATGTCTTGTTTACATTAAATTTTTTTCTCAAATTTGGTCTCAATATAGAAAAAAATTCAAGTGAAAGTTCCCAAAAGAAAAAAAAAATCGTAGATACGTTGACCGTCAAGTAAAAGCTGATTTGGAATTGAGTTCAACGAGAAATCTATTGATCTCTTTGCAAAAAGATCTAAGGCCCTCTTTAAACTTCAATCAAATAAAATCGATTTTTATTAATTCAAGGTAATTTTCCATTCTTCTAGCACTAAATCTACTGCCTCGTTTCCTGTTCAAAAAGAAGAACCAAGCAATAAAAAATGCCACGATCGACGGGTAGACAAATATAGACATTTTTCACTGATTCCATCACTTTGTCACTATTTCTCATTAATTTTCATTTCTTTCTTTTGTGATTTTCTTTCTCCTATAGGTAGACAATTTGAAGAGCTGTATTTAAATTCGGATTTAGCGGATGTATGGTTTTTGATCGATGGCGTGCGTATTCCGTGTCACAAATTGGTATTATCAGCCGGCAGTCCATGGTTTAAGACGATGTTCCATGGATCGTTACCCGAACAAGGTGACATCGACTTGAGTGCTTCAGCTACACCGACTGAATTCAAGGAATTTCTACAATTTTTCTATTTGAGCGACGTAAAACTCACCGTAGCGAACATCGGTGGCGTCTTTGATCTGGTCAAATGTTCAATGGTCGATGGCTTTTTCGTCGAGTGTGAAAAGTTTCTAATCAAAAATATGACAATCGAAAATATGTGTTGGGGTTATCAACTGGCTGTACTATACGAAGCAAATGAATTGCATCGATTTTGTGAGCGAGCAATTTGTATGAATCCCAAAGCGATCTTCGGAAGTGAAAGTTTTTTAAACGCACCGTACGAGTTGATCCATCAGATTATGTCATTGAATGAGTTACTTTGTGATGAAAACGATGCGATCGATGGTTGTATAGCTTGGGCACAAGCAGCGTGTCGACGAAACCAGCTCAATCCAAACCATGCTGAAAACTTACGAAATCAGCTCAAAGAAATAGTCTATCAAATTCGATTTGTGTCCATAAATATCAAGGATTTTGGGTCATTGCTGCACAAATATCCGGATTTATTCACCAAAGAAGAGTCACAAGAGATCATTTTTGTGATGAGCCATATAAAAGAACGAACCAAATTCAATCGCAAACCACGAATATTTCAAGTGCCTCCGGACGATCAACGTTTGCTGTGCTGCAATCGATTTGTCAAACTTGAATTGAATGTAACCGAGGAAAGATACTGGACTAAACGGTTGGAATCGACGATCTTCTCATCAAATCGACCGGTTTTGCTCAAAGGATTCACATATGCCACGAGATTCGGTCGTGTTCGAATTACAATCAGAGAAAAACAGGAAGAACGACACTTTTTACCACTTTTTGACAGCACACAAACAATTCAACATGATGTGGAGCCGATGCCACACGACAACACATTGGTCAAAGCTAAATTTCACACACCCATCGTTATCGAACCGGATGTAAAGTACGAAATTCAATTAGAACTGGAACAAGCTACGGGATACAATCGAACTCTCTTGCTTGACAAAGTTTTACTCAATCGCAACGGCATTGTCATTAAATTCCATCCGACAGAAGGTGAAGCCAGTGCAACACATGGAGTTATTCATCGCATGTATTTTAGCATTTTTGATAAATGGTCGTCTCATACAGCAACAATTTTCTTTAGGTCGAGTCGAATCGGAAGCAAAAGACGAATGTTTTTCAAAACTATTCTGATGGGTACATTGACGTTTTTGGATTGGTTGAACTTTTTCACCTCGTTGATTTTGTAATTTATTGTTCGGTCGATTTAACAAATATGAGGCATTTCAGCTTGAAAAGCATTATTAAAATTTGTCTAAAAAATCAGGCGTTTTGAACGCAATATTGGATTCACACACCAATAACGGATTTGTTAGGAGTTTCACATTTTCATAAGAGTTTTAAAGCATTATTTTCATTTTATCCATCCAACTGTGAATGAATCTTCATAATAATTACAGTCTGTCTAGTTATAGACGATAAGGGATATCTAAGTGAAAACACAAGAATTTTCCAAATTTCTCTTTCGAGATATTTTGATTGAGCCTTCAGCTCGGTCGCAAACAATTCAATAGTTAATCCATTCGCCTTGTTTTTCGATAACACGGGCACAGCGTGAAGGCATACTTTTGCTCAAATTTTCAGCATATTCTCGCGAAAGGCTGTCCCACTGGCGCTTCAAGAACAAAGTGAGATGTTTTGTGCTTCGAATATGTTTGCCTTTGAGTCTCTGCTTCATGATGGACCAAACGTTTTCAATCGGATTGCAGTCTGGAGATTGAGCCGGCCAATCCATCTGTTGAATCCCATTTTCCTCTTTCCAAGCAGTACATAAACGACTTTTGTGTTTTGGGTCGTTGTCTTCTTGTAGAATCCATTTCGACGTATCGTTGCCATAGAACTTCTTGGCGGTGGGGAGCAATGTCGATTTGTACAACTGGCGCATTCGATACTTCTCTAGGATACCAGTAAACACGGTTAATTTACCAAAACCGGCTTCACAGAAGGCTCCATACACATGCACCTTTTGCGGATGCTTAACCGTGCGAACCACCGTTCTTTTTTCGCGTGTATAGTATTCCGAATTCATGTTTTCAATTAAAATAAGAGCACCAATGTGACTTTACATCTGTCAAATGCAGTTTGCGACCGAGGTTAGAGTCGCATCTGACCACACCAAAAAGCCTATTTAAATATATTCAAATTTGAACATCGTTTTCCCTTATCGTCTATAACTAGACAGACTGTAGTTCTTTGAACAAGCACCCAATTCAAAATCTGAATTTTTCTTTTGATTTTTTTCGAATCCGGTCTAGCGGGTGGTTCTTGTCACAATTTTCCTGGCGATCTCCTTATCATCACTTATCACATGGTAGGTAAATGAAGTGAAAAACAATTTACTTTGGTTCATTATTCGATGTCAGATCTTGTGAAGAGCCATTGCAAAGTACATGAAAGCGGAGAGTGTTTATTGTTGCATACCTGAAAATAAAATTCAAAACCAATTTCAAAATTCATTTTGAACATTCTAATTATTCTATTCTATCTGGTTTTTGACAAGATCTATCTTATGGTTGGATTTTATGAAAACAATTGTCGGGCAATGATTAGGTACATTAATGTTATTTTTCGAAAAATTGTGTAAACTGAAATCTTCACTGGGATGAGCTCAAAATATAGAAAACATATTTTTTCACTGAAATTATCCATTTTTTCTGGCTGGCTTCAGTCATCTCTTCAATTATTATGGTGGCGTTTCATGTGACAAACAGCTCCACTTTTTTGGACAAACCGGGCATTGCAGAATTTGCATGCAAATGGTTTTTCTCCGGTGTGATGAGCTTGCATGTGATGTTTCAGATATGTTGATCGATTTACGTTGCCTTTACACAAATAGCACTGGTAAAGACGGCGATTGCATTGTCCTTCATGCATAATATGCATTGCATATCCTTCTTTCCTTCTTCTCTGAATGGTTTCCAGCATTTGGAACAACAGATTGGACGTGATTTTGCATGGTACTGTCAATAGCGCGCTGGTTCGGTTTTGTAGCCAGTGGTGACGTTTTGCACTGGAATGAAGTGGGCCGCATTGAATTAGACTTTGAATTTGAATTGTCTTCAATGGTTCAGCCATCAAACCTTGAATATTGAAGAAGAGTGAATGAAAATAAAAGGTTTCGAAAACATGTTGGTTATGTTTTATCTTGTATTATTTTAATCAGCACAATATGTGCTGTGTGGTAAGTTTTGAATCATCAGATTTTGTTATCATCATCTTTTTCGTAAATTCCTTTCAAATTCATAAACATGCGCAAATAACTTTTTCTCCTCAAAATCTCACTTTTTATCGAGTTGTTATCAAAAGAATTTTGTTGATAAGCCAAAATAGAGCGTTCAAATTACTCACAAGTTGCAAATGTTTTATGAACGTTCTGCGTTATTTTATGTCAGTATTAAAAATGAACTCAACAAGTGTATTCGAACGCAGTCGAACCAGTCGACATTTCTGATTTTGTTTTTTATTTGATTAACCAAGGAATTTTAGCAATTAAATCGAATAATTCGTGGTTTTTGAACGGTGAAGACCCGGAAATTATTTTTCATTACTTGCAGGACATCAGTGTAAGTTTTTTGTGCTATTAACATAATTTTTAAGTTTCAACCAAATTGATTACGTTCATACTTTGCTATTTTGAATTCAAATGTTTTCTACATCCTACACCAGCCATCGACAATTTGAATTATCGCTTAAAACCATACATTGTAATATTCGGTGAGTGCCACTAAAAAAATATTCACACTCAT